TTTTTTTTTCAGGATTCTTTGATATCCAAAGATCAGCATTTATCTGAAATAAAAAGCTTTTGTAACATTATACACTATACCATTCAGTATAATTTTTATAATTTTTTTGGGAAAGAAATGATAGAAATTAATACTTTTATTTAGCAAGGATGCTGAAAATTGATCAAAAGTGATGATAAAGGCATTTATAATGTTACAAAAGATTTCTATTTCAGATAAATAGTGTTCATATCGGTATCGGAATTATATCGTATCGACCAAAATTAAAAAATATATATCGTGATATCAATTTTGGCCATATCGTCCAGCCCTACTCCAACCCCAATTAAACACACCTGAACCAGCTAATCAAGCTCTTACTAGGCATACTAGAAACTTAAAGGCAGGTGTGTTGAGGCAAGTAGGAGCTAAACTCTGCAGGACACCGGCCCTCCAGGACCGAGTTTGGGCAGCTCTGGCCTACATCATGTTTTCATTCAATGAAAAATACATCGCGGAGCAAAGAGGAAACTGACAACGTGCTGACAAACAAGACTTTTGGTATGAAACAAAGCCTCCTCTCTCAAATGTTGTCATTTTTTAAGAAATTCAAACAATACATACCGTTTTATGGCTCTTTAATGTGTCGTGAAAGATCGCTGAAGCGCCTCAGTTAAAGCAGTACTTGAACCGATCATCTCTTCCTCTTTACTAGTTACAGCATGAAATAAACATGAATGAACATCAGAAAGGTTTCTTGTTTCAACCGCGGAAAGACATCAATACACACCATTTTTCAATTTCAAATCCACCAAAGTCAATCTATTTCCCAGTCCGGTGACGGTCTGGTTTGTTTGGCGGACAAAAATGGCAGATTCGGCGTTATGATTGGTTAGATCGTCTGTCAATCAAACTCAATTTCTAACAAGTACAGATGTCATAGGTGTATAAATTATAAACACCGCCCTCATTTTGGCGACGCACGTTTCCGTAGTGGTTATATCTCATGACCATCCCAGTAGAATCCTGCAAGCCTGTAGACAACTGCCGCATTGCACTGATTGAAACTTTTGCACAATAATGGAAACTGGAAATCACATTTATAATAAAATATGCTTAAGTCACACAATTACATTAGAAACAGTGGTAAACATGCAAAACAAAAAAATAAAATGACATAAAAGCTGTGTGCCAAGAATATTGCTTTTACACTTATCCAATAGCCAAAGATACATGAAATAAGTTATTTTATCAAACCAACAATGCTTCCAAGACTTACCATTTTGCCGACCATTTCAAACAAAATATTTTGGAAATTTACACATTTCTTTCAACAACAAAAAGCTCAAACGGCCTATGGTGTTACAGGAAGAAGCAACAAACATAATAATACATTAATCGATAACAAAAATAATTTTAAATACGAAAGCTTTCTCTTGGTAATCACTTCCACATTGAACCGCAGTGTTTTGGACCATGGTAGCTGGTCGTTAGCCGAGTGACCAGCTATCATACTCTAAAAACCAGCTCGACAAGCCAGTTGCAGGTTTGTTGCGGGCCCAAGATGATCTACCACCTTAGACCAGCTAGAAACCAGCTACCATGATCCAAAAAAAAAAAAAAAGAGCACACACAGATTAGGATGCAATTCCAGCAGGGATTGCATTAACTCTTTGTGTCTAAAGAAAGGTCACTGATCAATTAATATTCAGAGAATTTATTGTACAAATAGAGGTATTGCAAGCATTCAATCTAGCAAGTCTCTCCATGGGTATGAGTAAAATAACTGCCATACAGAACCAAACCATAATCAGAGAAACAAACATACAAGTAAGTACAAGGACTCATCATCACTGTTCCACTTTCCAGAAAAATCTTTTTTTAGTCCATGTGCAGGTTTAGAATTTTAGCACTTAGAAAAAAAACAAAACACTTGGTATTAAGACATAAAGAATGAGTCTAAGGTTTCCTATGAAATGCATTCTGCTGAAGGCATTAAACACTTTTGTAATACTTAATAATAATAATAATGTAAATTTTTTTTTTAACAGCAGGGATCCTTGATTTTTGCCTCTTGATGATAAAGTAGTTATGGCAACGAATGAACAGACAAACCTTTGGTGGAAGAAGGATGAAAGCAATGAAATTATATTTACACACAGAAAAAAGAGAGACAAAAATGCCTAATTCAGTGAAATGAGGCACTTCTCCAACAAAGGCAAGGATAAGTGAAACCAAATGACCAGCCATTCTCCATGTTGAGTGCTGCTTTACCAAAACATCCACTGCATGTAGAGCTACAGGTGACAGGTCAAATAGCTGTTGTACACTAGAGAAGATTTCTACTGGTAGTTCAGAGATCAATTCAAGATTGGGGCCGAATGTTACCTATTCTACAACAGGTGGTTTCACATTGATGGGATACTGGATAATGCATCAGCACCTTCATCTCTGGTCAAATGTTTCGTACAAACAAAAGTCAAGGCTTAAGGTACTCATAAAGCACAAATGACAAGTATCAGTATAACAAATACACCTTTGCTGCTGGCAATGTCAAACAAATTCATGAGTACATTTCAGAGAGCATCTCAAAAGCTTTACTTGAGTAAACATTCTCCTCCCTACAACAACAGAGCTACGATAACCTCAAGAGGATGCTGGTGACACCCTTTTTGCCAAAATAAAGATTGCACACAGAGAAATAAATAACAGTATAATCTTGTTGCTTTGTTTTAGATAAGTTAGGTTACTATAACGGGTTTTTACGTGTCCATAATGTGCCTTTTGAAAGTGTTATTTACAAAGTGAAATGAG